AGTTAACCATTCACTAGACTACAACCCAGACGTCAGGTGATGACTGGTGTTCTGTAAATAGACAAGAGGACAACAGTAAACCACTCACTCAAATATAACCCAGACATCAAGTGATGACTGGTGTTCTGTAAACAGACAACAGGGCAACAGTTTCCCCTCTCAGTAGAATACAACCCGGACGTTAGGTGATGACTGGTGTTCTGTAAATAGACAACAGGACAACAGTAAACCACTCACTAGACTACAACCCAGACGTCAGGTGATGACTGGTGTTCTGTAAACAGACAACAAGACAACAGTTTCCCCACTCAGTAGAATACAACCCAGACGTCAGGTGATGACTGGTGTTCTGTAAACAGACAACAGGACAATAGTTACCAACTCACTAGAATATAACCCAGACGTCAGGTGATGACTGGTGTTCTGTAAACAGACAACAGGACAACAGTAAACCACTCACTAGACTACAACCCAGACGTCAGGTGATGACTGGTGTTCTGTAAACAGACAACATGGCAACAGTTTCCCCACTCAGTAGAATATAACCCAGACGTCATGTGATGACCGGTGTTCTGTAAATAGACAAGAGGACAACAGTAAACCACTCACTAGAACACAACCCAGACGTCAGGTGATGACTGGTGTTCTGTAAACAGACAACATGGCAACAGTTTCCCCACTCAGTAGAATACAACCCAGACGTCATGTGATGACTGGTGTTCTGTAAACTGACAACAGGACAACAGTAAACCACTCACTAGAACACAACCCAGACGTCAGGTGATGACTGGTGTTCTGTAAACAGACAACATGGCAACAGTTTCCCCACTCGGTAGAATACAACCCAGACGTCATGTGATGACTGGTGTTCTGTAAATAGACAACAGGACAACAGTAAACCACTCACTAGAACACAACCCAGACGTCAGGTGATGACTGGTGTTCTGTAAACAGACAACATGGCAACAGTTTCCCCACTCAGTAGAATACAACCCAGACGGCATGTGATGACTAGTGCTCTGTAAAAAGACAAGAAGACAACAGTTAACCACTCACTAGAACACAACCCAGACGTCAGGTGATGACTGGTGTTCTGTAAACAGACAACAGGACAACAGTTTCCCCACTCACTATAACACAACCCAGACGTCAAGTGATGACTGGTGTTAAACAGTCTTTAGTGACTACAGGGTTGCACAATATAGCTAATAGAGTGAAACGTCAAGTCAGACACGATATTTCGGTGAAATATTATCCGATCATCGCGAAAATCAATAGGTATCATCTTCATAATGACATTGACACACAAAATAAAAATCAAAAAAATCTGTAAAAAATTGTAGCCTGTAGAGTGAGCACGAGTTGCACAATATAGCTAATAGAGAAAAACGTCAAGTCAGACACGATATTTCGGTGAAAAATTATCCGATCATCACGAAAATCCATAGGGATCATCTTCATAATGACATTGACACACAAAATAAAAATCAAAAGAATCCATAAAGAACTGTAGCCTGTAGAGTGAGCACGAGCCAAATGTGAACGGACGGACGGACGGACCGACGGACCGACGGGGTGATTACAATATACGCCCATTTTACGTGTGGGCGTATAAAAATATGTGTAAGAATTATGTTATCCAATCTGAATGATTATTAGCTATTTCTTGCCGGCTATTAATTGTTAAGTTTAACTTCGACCCAGCAGTTAATGCAGCCTAACTCAGAGAACTCCTACAACAGTGATTTCTTTTATTTAGTTACATGCAAGGTCGTAGAGTAATGGAGGCAACTGAAACGACGACGGTCTTTCATTCAATTGTCTGCTGCATTTTAACTTAACTTGGATTGCACTGAAGGCTTGAAAAGGGGCTGTTATAAGATAGTTTGAATCATGATCCAAAGCCTTAATGATAAATCCACCTAAACTTGGATATTTGAAACAGGATCCAAGGCTTCCAATGATAAATATTTTTTCATTCTGAAGTTATAAACCAACGTGGTCAATGACTGGTGGTCATTATAAAGTACTTATTATCCATCTGACCGATTACTACTTTGAATCCGTATTCAGTTTAATGAAGACAACCTTGAGTGGATGATAGCCTCCAAAACAGATACATTATAATAAGAAAATATAATACATAAAATTTTTCTCAAATGAAATAATTTAGAGAATATGCTGAAGTGAATACATAAAAAATATTTTAGTACATGTATTTATCAATGACTGCAGAACAATTAATTTGATTTGTTGACTTTCATTATTAATCTGAACGTGTTTTGCTAAACCATATCTTCAGATAGAAAGACATATTCAAACCCTTAATTAACGGATAAGTGGCGATGCCATGAAGCAAAACTAAAAAATGAAATCCAGATCTGCATAAATCAGATGGCTTTATTTTGTGATGTGTAGTTGGATGTAAAACTCCACTAATTCATTAACAAAACAATATAGATAATGCACAATATATTAGATCCCGGGCGTTCTCTCCGGCTTACTCAGATATCGCTTTATTGAAGATAATCTGAGACAGCATTATATTAGTGTAATTGTATTGAGATACGAGGGATGATATCTGTATAATACCTCGCCTCCAGATAAATAGCTTATATAGATAATAGAAAAGGTTGATAACCTTAAAAATGACATAATGCCACTTTAATTAACTCGACAGAACTGTGTATGGCAGTCAAAGAAATTAAAAATAAATCTGTCGAACCCATGCCAGAGCAACACAGCTAAAAAGGTTTCCCAGATGAGTATTATGACATCAGTTCCTGCTAAACTATGTGACCCTATACTAATTCAAAACCAAGACACTCAAAAATGTCCATCGATCCAGGTACAAAATATGAAAATTAAGATAAGATCAACCCTGTATATCATAACCCAGGAATGTTCCGAAACATCTGCATCTAGTCTAGTTCTTCTTCCAATTGTCGGTTGGAGTACGGCCAGAAAAACGTGGCCACATTTCACAGATGTTTTTCACAGACTTGACATAAATAGTGTTAGTGGAAAGATGGTATTACTGAACTATAATATCGGGTTTGAAATTATCACTATGCATTTTTGAGCATAAACACTAGTTGTGTTTTTTTTCTAATTTTTTAGCTCAAAAACCTTAACTTTTCTTATTATTCTAGTCAAACCAACTGTAAGTGGATGCCAGTTATCTGTACAAGTATTCCCGATGTCGAGTTCCAGTGTCAAGTTCCATAACAGAAGTGAAGCGGGATAAATACAAGAATTCATAGTTATAATCTCTAAATTTCTCTAGATATTATTTTCGTGAAGTAAGGAATCATCAGAGCTTTAAAGAAAATAAAGCTTTCAATTGATCTCTAGGGAATATTAGTCCTCAATCTACTATCATGATTAGCGTATAAACACTAAAGGGACTCAAATATGTACTTGAAAACTACACAGGATTTGTCACTTAATGTTTTATTTTTCGATTTTCTTTAGTTACAATTACAAATTACTTCTTACCATTCAAGCTCATTATAAAAGCAGGGTCAAGTTCTTATCTGTCCAAACATGATTTTTAAACCAAGAAGATTTCAAGATGACAGGGAAGTAGGCTGTTTTGGACAAGATGATGGAAATATCATAGAGCTGCAACAATATCAGAGCTGCAACAATATCATAGAGTTGCAACAATATCATAGAGCCGCAACACTATCATAGAGCCGCAACAATTTCAGAGCTGCTACAATATCATAGAGCTGCAACAATGTCAGAGCCGCTACAATATCATAGAGTTGCAACACTATCATAGAGCCGCAACACTATCATAGAGCCGCAACAATTTCAGAGCTGCAACGATATATCAGAGCCGAAACAATGTCAGAGCCGCTACAATATCATAGAGCTGCAACAATATCAGAGCTGCAACAATATCAGAGCCGCTACAATATCATAGAGCCGAAACAATGTCAGAGCCGCTACAATATCAGAGCTGCAACAATGTCAGAGCCATTACAATATCGTAGAGCCGAAACAATGTCAGAGCCGCTACAATATCATAGAGCCGCAACAATTTCAGAGCTGCAACAATATCAGAGCCGAAACAATATCAGAGCCGAAACAATGTCAGAGCCGAAACAATATCATAGAGCCGCAACAATGTCAGAACTGCTACAATATCATAGAGCCGAAACAATGTCAGAGCCGCTACAATAACTGAGCTGCAACAATGTCAGAGCCACTACAATATCGTAGAGCCGAAACAATGTCAGAGCCGCTACAATATCATAGAGCCGCAACAATATCATAGAGCCACAACAATATCAGAGTCGCAACAATATCATAGAGTCGCAACAATATCAGAGTCGCAATAATATCATAGAGCCACAACAATATCAGAGTCGCAACAATATCATAGAGTCGCAACAATATCAGAGTCGCAATAATATCATAGAGCCACAACAATATCAGAGTCGCAACAATATCATAGAGTCGCAACAATATCATAGAGCCGCAACAATGTCACAGAGCAGCAACAATGGCCAATCCACTTGTATCGGCTTGATAGTAAAATGCTGCAAAATTTTATCATTTATAGTTATTTCAAGTTTATATAAAATATATCGAACAAATAACAGGACATGCAGCATTCTGATGGTAGAAAAAGATCAAGTTAATCTAGCTAGTAGGTCTCACTACCATATCATTGGATATGACCAGATCTGAAGATTCATCGATTACCAACTCAACAGTACTGAACCATACAATTGATCCTGGTACCAACTACCACAGGTACCAACAACTATCTAGTCTGCAATATCAGTTAGCTGGAAGCATGTTATCTACAATTCAACCAACAAACACATTGCTGCCAGCTTCCAACCAAACATTAGGAAAGTATCATTAACTACCAAGAATACCAACAACTACCCAGTCTGCGATATCAGTTTGTTGGATACAGATTTAAACTTGGCATCTACCAACCAACCAGTAGAGCAGTGTATAGTTGCTGAAGATGCTGTAGTCTATGTTTGAGCTGTTTCTAGATTAAGTAACTGTATAGTCTCGCTTATATAACTACTAGTTTCAACGTTAGATTTGACTCCCACTAGAAATGTCTTCTGTAAGATGGTATGGACATGATCTGAAAAGAAACAGAAAATATATATAATATACAAGACTACAATTGTAATACATCATAACATTCACATTTCTTGCTTCCACGCTGCATTTTAATATGGCCATGATTTTTAAAAATCATTTTGAAGTAATGTATATGTTGTGCATGCTTCAGGGTTCCAGCTTAAGGTATCCATATCAACTCTACTGATTAAATTGTTCAGATTAAAGGCATATGATCCCCAGTCTATAACATTATGCAATTGACATGTCATCTGAACACTATAAAAGACAGGTATCAATAGTACATAAAATGGAATGCATATATTATGTTCTGAGATCAAATATTCAGGTTACAGTTACAAAATAGTACTCATTCACTTGTCTGGAACACCTCAATACTTAGCACTAGACTCAACAAGACTTCTCTTTAAATAGTCCTTTAAATCAGAAATTAGCTGATATATATTTTCAATTGGCTCACCTTGAGCTAGGACAGTAAACTCTGCCAGATTAGTTAAAGCTGACTGAATAACATCAGGATGTCGACTTTCAATACATTGTAAGAATACAGGAACAAACTCACTACATCTTCTATAAAATATAATATAAATATTACTAGTTAGTTTTTCTGAATAGGATGTCAAGTTATAAAGACAAATCTTGGAGTGAAAAAAACCCTAGTGCCTTCTGTTTAAATAATTACTACTTTAAATCTCAAACTAAATAAGGTTTGTTTATAGTCTCTTTAATGAATGACATCAAATGTTCCAAGCAGATGAGCATCTGATATCATCAAAGTAAACAATGCTCAAGTGATAGTCTCATCCAGGCATTGACAGACCCAATTGTGGAGTGGCATCAAGTGCTCTGGAAGGATGAGAATGTGACATTTAGCACTTTGAAATACAGCATGTTAATAGACATTGACTGGAGAGCTAAGAGTACATGATACAACTGTAAATACCACTGGGTTCCACTGTGTCAAACACTGTGACATTATAAAATACAAGCTGTCAGACAGGTTATATCACCCTAACTCTCTATCAGATAATAATTTTACATGTCAATATTGTCAGTATAATAATAGACAAGTTTATCTAATTCCAGAAGTAAATTGAATCATTTTATCATGTCCCAGCTAAAATAACTTGTATGAAATGAAGAAAGCTTCTGGCCTATGCACGCTAAAAAAAAACAACTTCGGATTGGCTCTTCAACATGAGAGATTTTTCACATTGTCAAGAACATAACAAATTGAATTTTTTTCCACCATTGAGCACGTTTCACTATTTTTGAAAATTACATAACTGTTCGAAATCATACTTTGTATATTGGCCTGTTCAATAATTTACACACTGAAATATTCTATACTGTACCTAGGGTTTTGTCGAATGTGTCTCATTATTAAAGTGAAGGCTGTATTTCTACATTTATCATTGACATCATACATCAACTTCTGTAGTTCACTCTGAAATATACAAACAGGGGAGATAATTAATATCAAAATAGTAGCAAGAGGTAACTCTGTCATACATCAACTTCTGTAGTTAACTCTGAAATATACAATGAGATAATTAATATTAAAATAGTTAGCAAGAGGTAGGTCTATCATACATCAACTTCTGTAGTTCACTCTGAAATAGACAAAGACGGGAGATAAACAGCTTTCAGCAACTGCTAGAACTACAAACAGTCACATGTACTTATTATCTAGAAGCATAAATCAAATTAACATTCATTCTTTCAGAATACCTGATACTACTTTTCAACTAGGAATGTTATCTTGGCCGTCTTAGAGAGTTCATATAGTTAATAATTCATTTTGGAGAATTTATTTGGACAAGATATCAAGAAATTACCAAATTTAAAGGGACAGATGTGCAATTTGGGGGGTTGATTTTAGTCTTGTATATTATGTAAATAATCTTCAGTACTAGAAATGTTACAAAATCACATAATTTCTTTTAAAAATACTACAAACTAGGAATTTTACTCACTATTTCTATAATATGTCTTTTCTATATATCACAGAGTATATTAAAATGATGAGTCATCATTTTAACATTCAAAAGTGGATAATTCTGGACACACATGGATTTGAAGGCTCAAATTTTGACAGTGAGCTGTGAACACCATTAGTGATTGGCAGAGCTATGAAATTTCCGTTTTTGAGACTAAAGTATTATTGGTAAGGGTGCAGCTGTCCCTTTAAACACATGTTTGATGCAAAGGGCAGTACAATACAAATTTACATTCATGGACATAGCCTTCAGTATTCAAACTGTAAGTTCAAGGCTAACGTTACTAATTTCTAAGCCATTGTCTCATTGGTCAACATATTAGAACAATTATAACAAGCTGTTTGATTGGTTAACACCTATAATCTTGTTATAAGAGGTTTGTTTATGGGTTCACATTGTTAATGATGAGACTGTATTACTGAATTAATGGTAAATGAGACAGGATGTTGACCTCACTTTATTTTGCAATAGATCTGATTTCCCTGGGCTGTTATGGTGATGGAGCTGCCATCAAATTCTTTACTCAAAGTAAGTCCGTAAAACTACTGAAATAATTAGAAAAACCAAAATTGAATTCCTAAGATTCCATTTATTGTTGAACACTAAAATTCTCGTTTTTATGAAGCAGGAACAAAGTTCTCCTTTTGACTTATTTGGACTCAGTAAATCAAAAGTGGTAAATTTGTAAGTTATGATGAAGGAAGTTACTCATTGGCAGCCCCCTTGAAGCTGAGTATTACATGGTACAAAATTGATTCAAGTTTCAGAAGGAAGCTTAATTTATGGCCCTGATGTCTTAAGATATATTTTGCTGCTATGCCAATTAAAAATAAAACTCTATAGTTCTCAACATTGCTATGCCACCTGTTTCTCAAAAGGGTTCATCAGGCTTTATTTTGACTAAGACGAGACAACATTATTGTTGTGCTGATTTCCAGGAGTAATATAACTGGTACCTCTGTATCAGCAGTATATTAGTATTATAGTGCTAATTTATACAATATAACTGTAAAACTTGTAACTTGTAATATGACAAGTAAATTCAAATGAAAAGTATTAATATTTCAGATATTGAGTATCATATAAGTAAATCTGAAATGATCATAGTATAGAGTCAATACCTGTAGGTCAATACCTAAACCAATTATACATGATGCTAGCATAAATAACTTCTCAAACCAATAATTTCCCAGTGGACTTGGAAACAAGGATACTGTAGAATTCATTATCAAACATCAGCATCTTTATCAAATAATAAATCAAATCAAAGGGATACAAACCTAGAATTTTCCTATCTAAATGAAGCATGAGAGTCTCACTGTCTGACACAAAAATCTTATCCAGATTACCTAGTGATTACAATCATCTGGCAGAGCCTGTTGATAGGGAATAGAGTTTGTGGCATTGTATCATGAAAGTACAGACTGTCATTGTGTTTAATAAGTTAGCCGTCTAATATCTCTAGTTTTCTTCATCATTAATAATCTGGTATTATAGGAAGAGAATTGAATTTTTGGAATTGTGGATTTGGTATTTGGTATTAGGGGGTAACACCAGTCGACTCATGGAAGCACTGAAAGTGTAATCAGGATTCGAACTGACAGCACCTAAAGCCAATAAACCCTTCAAGAAAGTCCAAATGTTGTTTTTGTTTCTGTTAAGGGAAGGGAAGATCAGCATGCCTCTATTGCAGAATTACCTTTCCGCTGAATAAAGTGAAAGTCTGCTGTGAGCTAGCTTTTATTTGGGCCTTGATAAATTGCAAACGCAAAACCACAACAGTTCAGCGATTTGCCGTGTGGAGACACACAACAGCTAACTAAAAGCTGACTTTTTCCCACAGTGGAAATACAGTTAATGAGCCATCTTATGTCAAGGGACACAAATCCCTATGCGACTATATCATTTAGGTCAAATATAACACTTTCATCACATTAGTACTAACACATTAGTAGTGTTAAGGTTAATTAGGTTCACAGTAACAAATACTTCAGAAATATAGTACATTATTCTGCACTGTCAACTGATGATCTTCATGATTCAACAAGACTTCAACAATCATAGTAACTGTATACCAGCCAATTTTATTAAACTACACCTCTTGTCTCTTATCTATCTTGACGTCATAAGCATCTAGATCTGGTTTCCTACCGTCTTCACAATGTCAAGGTATAAGGAATATAGTCTTATAACTTGACTGTATTAACCACTATTCTTGAATCGCTAAATGCAGCGACTAGTGAACAAGCCAACCATAGCCCTTGACAAACAGACTATAAATATTATGACATATGGTTTACTGATTACCTATAGAGGACTGATTTGCCCTATTGGCTAACATACAATCCGACCTTATTGTTGCATTTACAAACTGTGGTACAAGAAAGTTGTCTATTCCAGTCAAGGTATAAGACAAAGTTGGTAATAGCTTGACATTTTATTGTGAAGATGGGTCTCCAACATGTAAACATGGTAAACTAATAAGTATGATATATTGCAATGATGTGTATCCCTGGTGGTCTAATAATGACATTAACATTTTATCATGTGAAGGTTACTTTACTTACTGTTTAACATTAGTTTGAATCTCTTTCATAACTTAAAGAGTATGTACCAGATTGAAAATATGCTAAAACTTGCTGAAAATTGCTAATAGGATGTATATATCAATGAAGGAAAAGTACCTTATAAGTTCTAATAATGTGCAGTTGATATCCAAAAAAGCAAATTAGACTTTGATAATTACCTTCTGGTTAACCCAAACTTCATAATTTGTATTAATCAGAAAGGGCCACAAGATGGAATAGACTTGAATAATCAGACTCTTTTGAGTAACATTCACCTTTTATATCTGTATAAAACAGATTTGTACAAAAAATCATGTTATTTTATTTATACTTAAAGATATTTAAATCATTTCATTCTATAAATGGATCAGATTTATATGATATGGGAAATAAATAATGAAAATAAATCTTATAAGCTCCAGGATGGTTTCCAAAATGAGTATATATTCATCAGTGGACTTACCTGATGTCATAATATATAGAGATTATGTTGTCTAGTTATGACACCAGGTAAGACCAATGATGAAAGCTTGAGACTGTAAATTCACTCAGAATTAGTAATTCTTAAAGGGACAGATTCGCCATATTCAGGGCTTGATTTGAGTCTTGAATACACGTAATAGTCTTCAAAAGAACTAGAAATGTACAAAAATTGCATTATTTCATATTAATATAAGGATTTTAATTTTCTATTTCTATACATGTCTCTTATTTTTTATGACAGAGATTCAATAAAAGCATGTCATTTTTTTAACTTTCAAACGCAGATAATTCTTCATAAACATGGATTTGAAGGTTCAAATTTTAACAGTGAGCTGTGAACGCTATTACTGATTTGGATAGCTAAAAAAATTCCCATTTCTGACACTCAGATACGATTGGTCAAACAGATGAAGAACCTGTCCCTTTAAGTCAGACTGGTAATCAGCTATCATGTACAGACTTTAGTTAAACAGAAAATACAGAAAAGAAAAACCTTGACATGACCTTTTTAAAAACCAAAATCTATCCATCAATGACGAGAAACTTACAAAATAAATTGAGGTAGTACATCCCAATTATTCAGAAGGAAGTATAAAAAAATGGCTCTGTCAAATTCAACTGTCAATTTTCAAAAACAATTCATTAACAAGATTTAACTAACCCAGTTTTAAGTGTGAAAATCATTCTTCAAAAAGACAGAATCTATCAGCTGACAAACAGTTACAATAAATCAACCCCTAATCAAATAATACAGAAACCACTCATTTTTACATCCTTATTTTTGGGGTACTCTTATGGACTTGGATTTAAGAATTCGGTTTTTCTGTTGTATTAGCAACTGGAGTCCTATTTTCAGAAGTATATGTGACTATGAACTTAGTTTTAAAAATAATGGTCTTTAGAAAGGTCAAATCTTTTCTTGTTAAATCAGCAAGTTCAGGTTTTTCCATTGTACTAACAACTGAAAGAAATCAGACAACAAAGAATCTAAACACATGATAACGGTTTTACAGGGGACGCTCCCTTTCCCTGATTTTCCTGGATCCAGATCCAAGATTTGTACGAACCCTTATTGAATGTAAAAGTTCATAAAATAAATGGGTGATTAAGTCTGAGAAACTGGTTGATAGTGTCTAACTTCAAATTGTGGAATGTGTAAAAAACCATGAAGAAAATAATAATTAGATATTGATAATTGGAAATGAGTGTCATAAACTATTTTACCGCACCTTAATTTACTATTGTCTTTTTTCATTATTGACTTATCTCATCTGTTCAGTACTTCCTTTACTCATTAGCGTAATTCTGAAATGCTTCCACTCTATTTCAACATCTTAACATGTATTATATCTGTCATCTGGACTTATCTAAGATCAGATCTAAATCAAAACATAAAGATATAAAATCTCTTATCTGACCATTGTTCGGCTATGAGTTGAGCTACTGCATCAAGGGGCCAGAAATATCTAAATATTTTCCACATTACCACAGATGACAAAATTCACACCAAACATCATTTGAAGATGATGTGCTACTTGTCCAGCACTGCATTAACAATAATACTACAGAATTCTCTAAACTTAATCTAGTGACCTCATGAGACATTGGAATTTCATTTCATTTCCATGTTAGTGGTGCTCATATGTTCAAAACATTTCAACCCTTGCCTTTTAGTCTGAATATTGAAATTTTAACCCTGTAACAACTGGTCTGATAAAAGATTCATTGTCATCAACTTGTGTTTTTATCAAATTGCATCTTTTGGCTGTACAATTTATTAACTTGAATTAGAATTCATGAGAATCATAAACCAAATTTCAAATCAACTGGCCTGAAAATAGATTTAATATCCTTTAAGGGATTAAGGAAAGTATTTTTTTTTTAATTAAATTTGCATATAATATTCTCAACCCAATCAAACAAACTCCCCAGTTTTAGTCCAAATAAGAGAATTAATGAGAATAGAAGAGAATTAAAGAGAATTTAACCCCAATTCGGAACCCACTGACCTAATTATAAATTCTATATATCTCAAACACGTGCTGATCAAAATAAGATGGGTTTTTGTCAGTTTACCATTGAGAAGTAACGCTAGTAAAGCTCAATCAAATATAAATAAATCGCATTTCGTAACGGAAGATATCATGCTTTAGAGTCATCCATTTTCCATCAATAACCCTCAATCACCAGTCAGCTTCACACTATAACGACTAAATTACATGATCTAGCAAAAGAAATACTGATATTTTAACAATTTTTACTCTTCATTCTCACAGATTTTCAAAGATTGATGGTGATTCAATAAAAGGAATGGTAAGTACAATTGGCCTCATTGCCTCTTATTAAACTATTTTATTAGTTATATCAAACCAATACAAGAGTCCTGATCTGTGAATACATGATCAAAGGTTGATGGGCATTCAATAAAATTAAGGAATTGTTTGTTGAAATGGGCTCATTGACTGTATTAAACTGTGCTATTAGTAAAATCATACTGACACTAGTCCTATCTGTAATTAAATCAGATGCAAGTGGTAAAAATGGAATAAAAAGTATCAAAATAAAAACCTATGACGATCTACTTACAAAGATATATTGAAACTTGGTTTGTAGTTTAGTGAACGCCAGTGAACGCTACCTAAGTTGCTCTGAAAAGGTCGGCAGGTAAAAGGACCCAATAAGTTTGGTCAAAAGGAGCCAATAAGTTTGGTCAAAAAGGGCCCAATACGGTTGGTCAGATCCGACTCAATAAGAATCAAAAATAAAAAGAGATCTAACTGACTCTAAAACAAGTCAAAAAGAGACCCAGATAAAAGACAAGAATAAAATACTATAGTGGTATATTCTCACTATTATCACTATTACTAACATCCTATTGAAATACATTGATTTTTAACACTAGCTAGTATATAATTATATTTATTAGACCACTAATTAACCTCTGACTATTGGGTACAATCAAGACACTGGTCTTTGGCTTCTGATTAGTAATTGCAGGTTTTCTCCCCATGATTGACACAGTAATACCAAAAGAGAGTAGGGGATAAATCAACGTAAAATTATAAATTGACCCTTATCATGTCTCACAGACATTACTCAGATCTGAATTTAGCTTATTTACACCATTACCTTTCATACGTCAAGATCTACAGATTTCATCTGACAATTCTTCCACAAATACAACTAAGATCCTTAAAGTAGCTTTGAGAGTAAGCTTCAAATAGAAAAAGAACAAAATTAACTTCATTTTTAAATTTGATCAGGGTATCATTTATAAGGACATGGATCACATAGATCACCATTTTCAGAGGTCAGTCTAATTGTATAATGTTCACAGCTTACCATGGACATTTTAGTCTTATTAGTTCTGTGTACTTATAATAATCTGTTTTTGAAAAATTACATTGTTTCTGCAATTCAACTCAAACTAATCTTTTATGATGTCACTTTTGCTGAATCTGCTCCTGATATTATAAGAACCTTTGTGATAGTGACTTCATAAAACACATAGCTTTAGTGGAACTGTAAAAACCATAGAAGCTCAATGGAATATTGGTGCAAAACGATGTGCACAGTATCCCAAATACCAAATAGAAAACTTCTCATTTAAATCAGACTTCCATCTAGTTCATCCCTACATTAAATCAAAAACAAACACCATATTGGTATATCAGTGACAATACAGAGCAGATATTTAATAATATTCTATATACAAAAAAAATATTCAATTTATACAAATTACTAGTCAAATTAAAGAGATGTTCACCGTCTGGCTGTGTCCCCTGAAGTGTTTCCTGCAACACGAATCATGTGCGTCACTAGTAACCATCAATACATCATAAACCAAGTATGTAGACCCGCATGTAACAATGAGAAAACGATTTCCCTCTAATTCCTTCGTCAAACAAGGGAAATTTAGTAGGTATCAGGTGCTCTTTGTCTTAACCCGAGATTACTGGGCGAGGTTACTGGGCAACAAACAGTCAATATCCTGTTAGTCTTATGAAATCATATGTAATTATATGTTATTATAGTGTTATATATCAACTTGTGATATGAGATTAGGTAACAAACTTACAGCAAAGAGCAACAGAGTTTGGCAGATTCATAGATAAGGGGAGGCCAGGCTCTGCAATATTATGAAAACATATTTGGAACCCTTTAAGTGAGTAATGGTCGCTGAGTGAGTTATGGTCTCAGAGTGAGTTTTGGTCTTTGAGTGAGTTGTGGTCTCTGAGTGAGTTATAGTCTCTGAGTGAGTAATGGTCTCTGAGTTATGCTTATGGATGAGTTATGGTCTCTGAAAGAGTTGTGGTCTCTGAGTGAGTTATGGTCTCAGGGCGAGTTTTGGTCTTTGAGTGAGTTTTGGTCTCTGAGTGATTTGTGGTCTATGAGTGAGTTATGGTCTCAGAGTGAGTTTTGGTCTTTGAGTGAGTTGTGGTCTCTGAGTGAGTTATGGTCTCTGAGTGAGTTATGGTCTCTGAGAGAGTCATGGTCTCTGAGTGAGTTGTGGTCTCTGAGTTATAGTCTATGATTGAGTTATGGTCTCTGAGTGAGTTATGGTCTCTGAGAGAGTTATGGTCTCTGAGTGAGTTGTGGTCCCTGAGTGAGTAATGGTCTCTGAGTTATGCTTCTGAGTGAGTTATGGTCTCTGAGTGAGTTATGGTCTCAGAGTGAGTTTTGGTCTCTGAGTGAGTTTTAGTCTCTGAGTGAGTTATGGTCTCGAAGTGAGTTGTGGTCTCTGAGTGAGTTGTGGTCTCTGAGTGAGTTATGGTCTCTGAGTGGGTTGTGGTCTCTGAGTGGTTGTGGTCTCTGAGTGAGTTATGGTCTCTGAGTGAGTTATGGTCTCGGAGTGAGTTATGGTCTCTGAGTGAGTTATGGTCTCTGTGTGAGTTTTAGTTTCTAAGTGAGTTATGGTCTCTGAGCAGAGATGAGTTGATATTTGTAGGCAATAAGCTTATATCTTTTCAGAAATAGTGTGAACATTCAGACTTCAAATTTTACTTCAAACAATTTGCTTGGTATTCATTTGACACAAGGTATATTAATTTATTCATAAAGACAAGATATATTGAAAGATATTCAGTGTATCACTAAAAGAATTGTGTATAGGCTATGGTTTAACTGTTTTATCAACCTACCTCAAAATGAGCCAACACTTCAACTCTTCTTTTACTAGTCTCATCTAAATCATGTAATACCTGTAGCACTTCTGAAATATAAATATTTTACTACAATCAAATATATATCTGGGTAGTCTCTCAAACATTTTCAATATACTTATGTCATATCAAGAATACAACAAATAATTCTATATTTTTCCACCTGGTAGTAATCTGTCTCTCACCATATGTTTAGTCAAATATTGAAGGCTTTTCTGCAGTTAAAATAAAATTCCCTAATATTTCTCTCTAAATATTTCTGTGCTAAAGGGAAGCTAAAGCATTTAAAGACACGGGCCATTTTGCAATCTTTAATCAGACTTCAATAATGAAACACCCACCGTCTAAAGATCCTTTTCTAAATTTCTTTAAAAAAGGAGCGAGCTGGGCTGGTGTCCATAAAGTATCAGAATGTAGAGTTGACATTATAGCTGGTGATTTCTCCCGAACCTCGCTAGCCTCATTCTGACTGTGAGGTGGTAATGTTAAACTGGCTAACAAGGCTTTTAGTTCTGATATACTAGGATAGGCTTGTGATACAGCGCTGGAATTACAAATGGTATAAACTTGTATATAAGAATGGAAAGCCAGTAATCTGACTATGCAGTTTGTTGTATTTCACGCTCCAAACAACAAAAACTGATTGAAAAAAGCAAAATGCACCTTTAAACTTGAAGCTTGGTAATTATTCGACAATAATTTGCCTCAATGTGACTGTTATATATTTATTGGGTCATATTTACCTGTAGGGTTTGTCAAACTCGAAGTGAAAAAATTGAATATACTTGTCATTTGAATCAACTTACCTTAAAATGTTGACATATTTCTGTAATATTTTTCCTGCTTTCGATGAATCAAAACTAACAAAATGTTGTAAGAAAGAAATAAATTTTACAATCAATCCTCCCAGTTGTCGATTATCTTTACCATGTTTCTGAAAATAAGAGAAAATAAGATAATAGTTCAGTCCCAATCAAATCCATCAACAATAACAAATTCAAATATCTTCACATGTTTCTGAACATGATTGAAAATAAAGAAAAAATACCCAATGGCTGTCAAATTCAGACAGGAAGTCTACAGTCAAACCAGACAGACTATCACATTTATTTCAAGCAATACAATCAATTGTTTTCTAACCATTTGCTAAATTTGTGATTACATGTATTCCAATGGAATGAAGTATTTCAATACCACCACCCACAGACAGAAGGGTTAAATAGGTAAAGGGTAAAGTATATGATATCTGCCATGTTAATTTCTGAGATGCAAGTCAGCAAGTACCTGATTCCAAACCTTCAGGTCCTGGAACATTTTGTGGCTGACTGTCAAAAAGGGTAAAAAACTAACCCTATATATAATATAACACTTAACAGATGACCTACTTAGGGAATAAAAGGGTTGAAAAATGTTAAATTCTGATGTGCAAGATGGCAAATGCCGTATTCCAAACTGAACTATGCAATATCAGGACATGAGCCATATGTTGTTGACTGTGAAAACAGTAAATCAAAGACCCTAGGTTATATAATCAACAGTTCTTATATAATCCATATTAAAATAACTTACATCAATAAGATTAAAATAAGCATCATAGATAAGTTGTAGAGCTGATATCTGACAGTTAAATATATGAGGTTGTAGAATATCTAATATACCCAATACATGGGAGAATAACAGTAAATAATTCTGGTTACGGAACTCTGTAAAATTTAATGCTGTACGCCCTTGTAATAAAGCTGCTATCATCGGTAACTGTCTGCAATTGAAAATGTAATTTTGTCAAATTGAAGCATTCTCAATCCCTGAAGAATATTTCTATTGAATCTGATGTGATATGTCTGAGTTGTATTCAGTAGTGAATTTAATCTTGTTGTTTAGTAGAAGTTTAGAAGATTTGTCATACAAATTCAAGTGAATAGGGAATTGTATTATTTGTCAACAAGCTGGAAGAATCATGATGCACTCTTTCATGTTTTGATCAACAAAATTTCTAGTTACATAACTTCATTTCAATTTAATGCATTTCAGAATTTCAGACTCAATAAAATGAAAGTATCAGATATGAGATATTATCATAGGAAACCTAACTTTTCTGTGAACCTACAAACAAAAAACTAACACAGATCAGATAAAGTTATAATGAAATACTGTAAGCAGAAAGGTTAATATGACAAAATTTAAATTTATTTTTGTAATTGAGCAATGAAAAGAAGAAAATGCTGAAATAATTCCAAATTTCTTTGTGTCAATTTTGAAAGTTCAAAATCCACAATAATCTTAGAGTGACATTTAGAGGTAGAGATCAGATTTAACAACAGAACACAATTTTATTGTAAAATAATCCATAATTTTCCAATATTTCCTCATTTCATTTTTTCATAGTAAATTGTCTTGTAAAATACTACTTAGGAACAGTATACCATATAATTGTGTTCCGTTATTTATTATCTACAACATATTGGAATACCAACTTATATCTTTACATAGGGGAAAATATTTTCTTCTTTACTAATTTAATAAAGAGCTTTTTGTTCAGGTGGCTTTAGTCCAGGTCAGTTTTGTCCGAATGGCTCTTTTTCCAAGGTGACTTTTTTTCTGAAAGGGCTTTTTCAGCCATTCTAACACATCTGTCTGATGTCTAGGACTACAACTAGTCTAATATTGAACACCAATACTAACCTGAGTATTAAGAGAGGGTGTTCAGAAGCTAGTTTACGACAAGCTATATTAGCATCATACATCTTACTTTCAGCCATTTTACCAGCTTTAGCCTCACCTAGAGCTGTTATTAACCGGTGAGATATTACATCCAACTGAAAGAAAAATCATAACATAGCTCAACAATTGTTACTGGCAAGGCAGAGTTTTCTAACCATTCCAGAACACCTTACACCGATCTGTGACTGGGTTTCCCAATAGAATGCTGGCCAGGTATCTTAGACATAGTTTTAGAAGATAAGAACTTTGGATATCCTAGCGTTTAGATCATTTTGAGAATAAGTAACCTGGTAAGGTAATTTATCATCGATAATAAACTATTAGTTATATTATTCTGTTATTTTCTGAAAATGCATTAGAAAAACACACCTTCTTATTTCTATTACCCCGTATCAGGATAAATATTGTTTTATGGCCCAGATTATATCTGTGAATATGTATTGTGTGATGACATGTTTGGAGTTACTCAGCACTAGTTAAAAACATAACTAACCTGACTCTTGCCTCTATCTGATTCATAAACTTGAGATAAGAAGAGTTGAGAATTAGATATCCATGATAGTAGATAGGGAAACTGTAGATAAAGTTCTAATAGTAGTTTCTCATATACTGCTTTCTTAGGACTAAAAAATATACAACTAGTACTGAATGTAAATGTAAAATAAAATATTACAACTTTGAACATTTTTACATAGAAATTTGTCTATTTGAGCAAAAGGATTGAGTAAAGCTGCCATTGGAAAAACGAACACCGGAGCCCATGACAAAATAATAACTGTTGCAGTGTATTTTTTTGTATGGTTTAAATGTGGATAAAAATCTCATTACCCAATAAAAAACAAAATTAAAATATGACATAGATTTGAGCAAAACATGAAAAATGCTCAATGAAAATGACAAAAAACTTTTGTGCTGTTTTACTGTCAATTGTTGGTTGGTTGGTAGATAACAAGTTAACATTCGCTTCCAGCAGATGCTGATATCGCAAACAAGGTAGTTGTTGGTAGTCGTAGTAGTTGGTAGTTGGATTGGTTCGACTGGATGATCTGTGCTGTTGGTTTGGTAATTCGAGAATTTGTGATATCCAGTCGGGTCAAACAACATGGTGGAGAGATGTGGCGCTGTCAAATGCTCTATTAAACCCCTTTTAAAGGTAAACCTACCTATCACCAGCTATCTGTTTCTGTATATGTTGTACAACTAGTCTTACTCTAGTATCATCATGACATAAACAGGCTTCTAATAACTCCATACGGCAACTCATATCTAGTTTCTCATTGGTTGAATTCTGGTCATGTGATGTGAACACCTCCTCTATGATATAATCTACCACTGTAAGAATCTGTTTTTGGTTTAAGCCAAGAACATCATCCTGGAGCTCATTCTGAAAGGGAAGGAAATTATTGCTCACTTATTGATAATCACCCCCATGATGTTGTATCACCTTGTTTCAATGGGAGAATGTTTTATAAAACAATTCTTATTTTAGACTCCTTGTTTAACTCAATAAACAACTGCTCAGATCACAATTATTGATTGCAAGATCAAACATTTTGCGGTAAAACTTTACAATAAAAACCTACCCTTTTTGATGTTTGGTCTCTACCCTGCCATATTTTAGGAATATGAAGACATGCCCATAGAAAATCTAACACAGATGATGCGTCATAGCTGAAATTACAATAATTTTTGTTAAATTTTAATGTTTAACAATGGCATGAATCTAGAGTTTTTTTTGTTTCTGGCCCTAAATATGCCCGATATCCCTTCTGAATATCATTTCTAATGACAAGAAGAACCAGATTTGCTAGGCTGGATCGTAGATTTTCAACAACAGGGACATGTCCAAGGTGGAGACATTTGCACTTTTCTTTGGGGACATTTGATGTGTCACAGCCAGTCACATGCTGTGAAAAATAAAAACTTTCCAACTACAATATATAAAACATCTCATATGATGACTACACTATATACAGCCTAAATTAACATTGTCTAGGAGTACTCAGAAAATTATTACTATCAAAATATGCGAGAACGTGCCTGGTATCTAATCATAGATACACTTTCGAAATTTAGGGACTTCACTGGGCTAGATTATAGTCAGAGCATCAAGACTTGCATGGTTTTATCAACAGTCAATATAACATGTTTGTTTATGTTTTGAAATGAACCTGAAGGGTATAAATATCCTGATCTTATTGTGTTTATCTATATACCTGGTTACAGCATCTGTATCTAATAGTTCATTAATACATCTATTGAGGGTGGACCAACTACTCTGATGTGTTAACATAGCTAATAAATACGGATGATTCTTAGTCTTAGTACAGCTCTTCCCATTGGTTATCTTCTTAGCAAATATCAACTGTTTTTGTAAGGTAGGATTTGATTGGATGAGCTCAGGTTCTAATAATTCTAGCCAATCAATAAACAGAGAGGCTGCTGATGCAGGAATGGTGTTTCTGAAACAACAAATGACACTTTATTGTAACTCTCAAAGATCTAATTTTCGGTAATTTTGGCTTGTATGTTATGCGTTATGCAGCGTTTTGCCAGTTCCATATCAAGGAATGCTTGACGCATGTAGCCTGAACTGGGCCTACATCTGACGACAGTCTACGTATACATTGAACAACATGTCAGTCCTTCTAGGTTATGGTTGAGATAGAATTAGGTTTGTGATTTTGTTGACAATTTAACTGATACAAAATAAGGGGAGTTTGTGCTGTACCTACTTGAGGGGAGTCTGGGTTCTTCAGTCCATACCTGTATTGACCTGTTCAGTTCAGTCTACATTTTAGTTGACAAATTACTAATATAATAGTTCGGGTGTTTTAAACCATACCTTTGTTGTGAATGGAGTAAAGTATTGTAGACTAGATCACTAGCAGAAGACTGGGAGGATGAGTCTATTGACTGTTTGATTGTTTTATCTACCAGTCTTTCTAGTTTCACACTGCCTTCTATACTGTACTTCTCTACAACTGTAAATATACATTAAAAATATATTCAATCTGAATGAAAAACAATGGAATGGAGTCCTCATCCAACTTTTCTGCACTGTACAATTTATTTTTTAATTTCATTAATATTTTCAATTGATTAGATTTTAATTCTGCATTTTTAACATATATTATACATACAATAATTTTTTATTATTATCATCATAACAATTCTGGCTTCTACTCTATAAGTTTACCTATACACGTACTTACATGCAATAAACTTGACTGGATCAACAGGACTTTTACAGGATGTTGCTTCAGGAGCACTCTGTGACCTTTCACCTTTTAAATACTGACCAATCACAGCAGAAAAGGGTGAACTTTGACCTGTGTAACTATGCCTCAGTTTATGAAAGACATCTGAGAGAATCCCACAACCTTTTCCCTACAAGTATGCACAAAATTCAATGTTAACAATTCTAACGGTAAATTTCACTGTATCACTTTCAAAAGAAAGACGTCCATTGAAATGGAAAACTTTGAATTTGAATCCCAAGAAATATTGAATAATAATTTCACCTATTAGTTGACATCTGTTTTCTACAAGACAAATTCCAGTGTAGCAGATTATCGAAAAACTGAACACATGCAGATTGATAATGAAGTTGAAACCACTGTATACTTACCAATTTAGAAATGATAATTTTAAACAAGGGACAAGACCTAGATGATAAATTATACAGTTGACTGACAAACATTGGACCACTCTCTGATTGGACTATCTGAAAATAGAAACATGTTATGGTGTTCAGAGCTGTTAATGTGCTTATGGTTATGGAGGAGGTTTGTAGCTAAGAATTACATGGTGCAAAATTTTGGTAACATCCATTAAGAAATTGAAAAGATATAAAGCCTTCTTTTCTGTTCCTGACTTGGCTAAAGAAGACAAGAAACCCCATGCAGTTTGCATTTAGGACATACTTTTATCTATAACTGTCAAGAGATATGACTGTCTGTAGCACACACGGCATATTCCATCAAATCAAGAACAATTTCTAATAAAAATTTAAATGTTAATACCTTCAATATGACCTGTATTAGTTCAGAAGTCTTCTCTCTCTTGATAGATATCGTCTGAAATAAAAACATACACTAAACTATATGCTGACTTTCAAAACCTTAATTAAAAATCTGTACAGCTCAAAGATTCTTACAAGTGTTAAAGACCTTTGACTTCCAGAGAATTTCATTGGTTGAATCATTTTCTTTGTTGGAAATTATCATTGTTAATAATGTTTTCGGTTTCAAATGCAGAGAATTCGTCACAAAATTTGTTGAAGGGAAAAAGAAATAAAATATGGGCCTCTATATTTAAGGAGAATGGTTGACTAAGATTTTAGATTTTACATCAGGCTTTATAAAACGCCAGATTTTTCAAATATAGTGTACACAAATAACAACTACATCAATATAATACAGCCAATAGGTTTTATAATGTTCCACAAATTGAAGCTGCTTTCCAAAATCTGTCCAACAAAACAAAGAAAATGATAGTAAAGCAAAATTAATTTTGCTCATTTGGGGCCGATAAAAAAGATAACCATTAGCAGATCATCTTAGTTCAACTATACCTTGATTAAATTCTGTAAAAGTTTCATAGCATCTGATTGTGATGATTTCTGTTCTGAAAATATCTGCAGTAAAACATGAACTAATTCTGTAGGACCATATTGAAGACTGGATGAACTATCTGATTTAATTAGCCACGGTCTTCCAGTCTTTTCCTCTTCCATACTCTCATTTACTTTTCTTGCTGTGAAATAAATAATAAGAACTTATAATACATTAACCCAGTAGCTATAGGATTAAAAAATAAATGGTGATGTTGATAAATCTTGATATTGTCCATTTCAAGACAAATATCAATACAATATCTTACTAAATGTAGGATGGTTTTTACCATATCATTAATTTTACTGTTTTTGGTATTAATAATCCTGGGCATGGTTTCTACTAAACACAACTTAATATATTGCAAAAACTCATCAATTGATCAGGTAAGAGTTTTTGACAGAAGTGATCAATATAACATACCTGGTTTACGTGGACTAGTTTGAGTCAATAACTCGTAGAACTTATCACCACCCTGAGCACCTCTCATATGTTGTATTTCTATTAGCTGGGCCATGTATGATTTATCTACCACTGCCTGTTGAAGACTATCAGCGTTACAATCCATAGCTCGATCTAAACACTGTAATAACTTGCCCATGCTACTCACTGGTATACCAAATGATTGAATAAACAGTAATAGTTGAGCAGGCTCCAATTCTTCTAAAGCTAAAATATAACATAAAATATAACAAAATAATAAAACAGATTTAGGCCATACAAAATAAATAATCTGTTTTACAGGCCCAAAAATGCCTGATTGTTGCCTTAATATCAAATGTACATTAAATTTGTGGAAATAAGTAATAAATGTTTTCGCTCGCTCTGATTTATACCAGTTGAAAATCTAAAAAGGCGCTTATGAATAAGTCATAATAAATTCGCCCTTTTGCCCCGATTTTTGTAAAAAAGGCCTATAAAACAAACTATTTATTTTGTATGGCGTTAGGTCCTTCAGGTCTGTAGTTTATTGGGCAGATAAAGATAAAGGAAAACACTGCATGATATGTCTCCTCTCTCTATCCTGAAATTGACGGCCCTCTAGTTTCATTTTACTAAACACTTCTCATTCTTGAAGAAAACAATGATACAAGTCAAAAAGATTAGCATGGAAAAATGTTTAGGCATTTGAATAGAGTTAAAAACAGGACGCTGTACAATATCCTATTTACAAACCAATACTAACCAGCCATAACTAGTCTATCTACACTTGACCTTATCATCTTTAATTTCAGCCAATCAGGTAACAGTAAGGCTTCCTCTGAGGTATCCAATAGAAACGCTGTCGGTAGCGTTCCTTTCTCTGGAAACCACATTGACAGGAAATCATTGAACTTATCCTGCTCAGCTGAAATACAATGGAATTGGTTACTTTACCAAAACTCTAAACTGACACACACCCAATATCACATTTTGTTGTCTGCCATTGTGCTCTGATTGTTGTTCGATATTAAGAGTTAGTAAGTTATAACGCTCCACTCATTTAAAGCTGTACCCACCTTATTTTGAATTTCTGGATACTATTGAAATAACTTTATCAAGATGTATAGTGCTGAAAACCTACTGTTTGGAACACCATTTATCAGAAGTATAAGCATGTATAGCTATTATTTATTTTAGATTATAACATAGGTAGAGTAATATAAATATATAACATACATAGCTATTCCATAACCAAGTCTGGTATAAAACCTACCTTCAGGAGCACCATATGTCAACAATATAATCATAGCGTGTACAGCTAATATATGCATGGTGGCTGATTTTCCTGATGGCCATTGTAAGATGATCTGATCTTGTGTATTGGACTGAAAACATAACAACAAACGTCCAAATAACTTTTCATCATATTAATTTAACAGGTACCTGAGGGCTGTTGATATGGAAGATTGCACTGTGCAACTGGGTGTCTAATAAAGTATTATTATCATACTGACTTCCTCAAATGTCTATTTTTGGCTAGGATCTGACTATCAAATAGAGAAAAATTTGATCAAAACAGAGCACAAACAAAACTAGGATTCCTACCTTAAAAGAAGAAAAAAAATAACTTGATAATATTATTGAACACTGATAGACAGGATTAAGTCTCAATTCATGTTTTTATCAGCTCATCTCCCATCCCCTTAATTTATAATACAAGGTATCAAAATGTAACTGTCATCAATCTTACCCAGTTATAAGCTTCTTTATCTTGTTCTGTAGCTTTGATAAGATAGTTCATATATAGATCTATCAAAGCAGCTAGAGTCTGATCTTCCATAGGAGTTCGTTTAGATCCTTCAGCTGGTAAAATATGATTTATAATTGATGTTCTTTCTACTATTAACTGTGCCATGTCCTAAAATCAAATAATTCTGAACGTTATTTTGATTCATAAGACATATACATGATATTTGAGTCAAAATTGTAGTTAAATTGATTATGATGTAGATTCAAAATTCAAGTTCATCAATTTAATGCCAACTATTGTGTCACAATAACATTTAAAGTGACTGACAGAAACATAAAATCATAATATTCAAATTGTATCTATTTAAGGATTTCTTATTTTAAGTCAATCATGTCATGAGTCAAGCAAGTTCAAAGATAAAGGAAACTCTACTTACCAGAGCTAGATTATCTAAATCTTGTAAAGTTTGATCCATAGCATATCTTGACAGGAATATTATATAGGCACTGATTAAATTAGGGTTTGTTTCTATCTGACACGCCTGAAAACACAGAAACTATTAGTAACTGTTAACAATATAGTTTTGAAACTTCCAAAATTCAAATTAATAGCCCTTTTTGTACATGGAATATTCACTGCATCTTGGAAAAAGATAATCATAACACTTATATGAAGTGTAATTAACGACAAGCAATCAATCAATCACATATGAAAACAATTCAGTTACTTGGATCATTTTGAACATTGCAAACATTGCCCATTAGTAAATCTTTGTAAAATCCTTTGCTTTTATCTTTAACTTGAATATGTAGGCTTTGATTTCAAATATAGGATAACAAAAACTTACACTGCGTAAAGCTAAGCATGTTTGACCTTTGATCTCATGGAACTGTGGAACAGACGGTAAATGTTTCAACAACCATGTATGAGTTGTCTCCTCTTCTTCTGTTTCCATGGCAACATCTTTATCTAATTCTGATCGTGATACCACCATTGATAGACCCTAGATTGGAAAAAAAAGAACTATACTGTAGAGTTGATAAACAAATCATTAGTAGGACGAACTTTTCTTAAACAGGGGGATATTCATAATCATAAGACAGTGGTTATGAACTGCTCTAAGCAGAAAATAAAAAGAAGCTTTACAATGTAAAATGAAATAAACATTACATCTTCTATCACTCATTTGTAAGAACATTGTACATGTATGCCATACGCTAATCAAAATTTGTCATTTTATAATAGCAGATCAGGCAAAGACACCATTCAAATAGAGATTTGTTAAATATTTTATAGAACATAACAAACAACTACATGGACTGGTCTCCTAGTGTTAACACACAGGTTTGGATATTTGTCATTTTCAAAGAGTGACCTACCCTTATAGCCTGGGCTCTGGAACTAGACTGTGTTGATGACAAACGTTGTAAGAAATAATCTAAAACTTCGTACATGGTTCTGGAATCGGAACTCTTATCATGAACCAAAGCCTGGAGTCTGCCTAGTAGTTGTTGTTGTTTTATTCTTTTCTATATATAGTAGACGAAACAAGTTAGCCATTATTCATTAGAAATCTGTATTTTATATCTTATGTTCAAAAGCAAATAAGCAAGTCTAATTGAGAAGTCTCACTACAACAATCAACTAAATGACAAAACCTTGTCAGAAAAAGTTGTTTTAGCAATGGTGGTCGAAAAGCTAATTCCACATGATAAAGACAATTCTACAATGGTAAGATTGATATAATCTAAATGAATAATCAAAATCAGTTGAAAAATTATTTTTGAATAGATAACAAATTGTATCAAATTGTCTGAATAAAACTTTGCAATTTGCCATTCATTTTCAAACCTGATGAATCTTTATTTGAAAGACAAGAACAATAGAGCTTTTGACAAACGAACACTCCACACTCCACCTGTTTTTTGCGTTGTTTATCAGCCCGTATAGAATCATCATCTGATAAAAATTCTACTTTATTTTCTTCTTCTTCAGTTTCATGGAGTAAAAATTCACACAAACATTGTATTGGTAGTACATCTAATGAGCCTTCACTAGACTCTACTAGTTCAGCTAACCACGGCATAGACTGAGACGTACCCTAGAATAAAATGAATCAAATGATACAGAACTCTCAGTACCATTACATGCTCCTAAAAACACAGCAAAATTGACCCAAACTCAATAATTAGTGAAGGCAAACAATTCTATTCCATTTTACCAGCAAAACTTCAGATCATCATTAAATTTCATTAAATCATTTAAACATTGAGCATTGAGTCTGGATACATCAATATAATGATGTAACTCAAGAAATTTTCTTATTTCTTAAAATAAATAACAAAAAAGATATACCACAATAAAAAAAAGGTTGACAACCAACCTGTCTCTGAATGACATCCAGTAAGAAATCAGGGTTTCTGTTTCGACATAACATTTGTCCTATCTTTAGATTACTGTTTAATATTTTCAACTGTTCTAGAACTTTACCTGGTGGATTTCTAGCTATACCACTGGAATAAAATATAAATGAGCTATAAATCCTACTCTTATATAGGGTAACTGAGGAGGGGAGAAGCCATGGAAAACAATTCTACAATGGAATCTATGTTGAGATAATAAATAATCATGTCAATTGATTTTCAAACCAGCTAATCAACATAATTGCTTGTGACCATTATATGTATTCTCATTAACATATACACTAACATTGTTATTTGTTTTTAAACATAATCTCCAAAGATACACATGAAAAATATATATGCATAGGCCACCAACCCGTTTCTTATGAGAAATGTCCTTTTGGTTGGTTAAATTTCACTACCTCTAGTTAGATAAAGTGAACCACCGTACTTTATCGATAAGGGAACAAGAGATGAATATAAAATATAAGATAAAGTGAACCACTGTTCCATCTATGAGTTGATAAGGAATATGGGATGAATATGGGATGAATATGGGATGAATGTACCTAGGGTCCATGGTAGTTAGTTGATTAACTAAATGACTATTAACTTCTGTTATAGTAGTTTTACCAGCTAGATGTGTTTCAAACTCTATAATCTCCTGTACTTCTTTCTGATGGATCTACAATATATATATATAAATACAAAGTATAATTCATTAAGTTTTAGTAATATCAGAGCTGCAATCTACCCCTGTCACATCCCTGTCATTGACATCATTAGACTTTGACTACCAGATGGTGGTGTGGAAGGTCTCCATGTCATAGGAATCTAAGACAAATCATCATGCATTGAAATTGGCCACATACCTGTCTCTCTCTGTTTTTGATATCTTCTATCAATTTTTCATCAGTAGCAGTGGTTGGTGGGGGAAATTTATAATTACTGCAAAACAGAAAAATAAAAAATAAAATAATTATTTTACTTTAAACCAAGAATTATTTCTACTAACAGTTATATTTCATAGTAAAAGTAAAGATTCAATGATTATCAAAACTCACATTGAATATTTTTGTTAAGCCAGCTAAATCTGAAAGTTTTGTTAATGTATATCATTAGATTAATTCAAGTAAATAACACGAGAAAACAAATTTGAATAATTTTCTTACTTAGTCATGACCATCTCCATCAGAACTTTTAATGTAGGATAATTATCCCAAGCTGCTAGACCTATAACACAAAAATAGAAAATAGTCAAGCCATATCACTTCATACAAAGTATAAAAGTTACAATATAATCAAATTTACAAACTTCCATGATACAAGAAAGGTGACTATTGCAGTCAAGGTATGACTATGAAACTCGTAATAGCTTGACATTTTAAATCTGATAAAAAAAATATCGTATTGTGTCTAATACATCAACAAGTCAAAGCTTACACATCTTTGTGAAGTTACTAACAATAACTCCCATATTGAAACTGTACCAAAGTATACTCAGATTTGAGATTGCATTAATCAAATCAAGTGTCATCTAAAATAAGAAGATCAAAGTCTCTATTGCATCAAAAAGAAATATTGAAAGACAAACAGATCACATTGGTGCGTTAAAAGAAAACTTACCAAAGGTACCAGGATTAAAAGCTGTCAGAGTAAGTAACATAGACCAGGCTTTCCAGTATAGAGCTGAAATAGCTAGAGTAGGGGGAGTATACCTAAAATAAAATATAATTTATAATTGTATGAATAACACATAAAGTTCAAAAATGGCATGGCAAGACATCTTAGAAATCTTAAAAGAAGACACAAGAATTACAGGAATCATCAAAAAAAAATAATCTAAATTCAAAGATAAAGGAATCATGTTGATTACAAGATTGTTATAGTCAACATGAGAAACTTTCACTATATTCTGTGAACATTTTTTTGAAACATTATTTGAAATGTGGCTTAATCAATGACACATATGAAATTAAAAACCTTACCCTTTAGGTAGAGTGATATTTTCAGGATATCTGTAGGTACAGAGGTTTAACAAAGCATCTATTAATTCTAATCTTTCTACCTGTAATACTTCTAAACCCACTGTAATACAAACATATTGGAGTTTTACACCCTATATCTTACTAGACTCATACAGTAATCTGAACGTCATTGGGTACCCTTAAATAGTTTCATCACTAAAAATCATTGTTAAAAGGAAATGTGTAAGACTGAAAATGATTGTATTATTCCTCTGTTTTGACTATTTTTCCTAATCATTTATTCTAATTACAGAAATCAAACCTTTTCCCATTGAATTCACATATAGAAAGTCAAAAAAATATCACCATATCAAGAAATATATTGGGCACAAATGAAAATGCTTTGAAGTAAAAGATAGTGGACCACAGTAATATACGCCCACCACGGCATGCGGATGGTAAAAATTCAAGATTTTGGGACAAGGGCAATAACTCTGCTTCTAACGGTCGAAAATAGCTCAAATTCGAATTTGATCTTCGTTTTATGAATATGTATACACATATCGAATTTCATTTGATTCCATCAAAAAATCTAGTTTTTAGAGCGTTTACAAGCAAATGTTGAGACGGACGGACGGACCAACGGACGGACAGGGGTGCCGACAATATAAGTCCACATAGAGAGATAAAAATCAAGAAGTATCTAATCATCAAACCAGCCTATAGTTAAATCATTCATGATGTTAGAAACTGACAATCCTTTAATCTAAGTAGTCTGCAGGATGAAGAAAATGTCTCATGTATGAGTCTAATATAACTTACACTCCTGATTCAGTCCAGCAGCTCGTTTGATCAGCTGATCAGCAAGTTCCACAGCGTCAACTGGAGTGAGAGGTAACTCTCGAGACAGACCTATTACTAATATTCTCATTAATGTATCTTCTAACACAGGAGATTCAGTTGATAGTCGTAACATCATACTGGAAATTAAACACTATATATAACCTTGTTTTTTATTTCAAATTAAAAGTATGATAGAAATATTTATGTTATGAGCATACTTTCACTGGTTGCTTATGTATCTATTCATATCAAAGTATACCTCTGATTAACCCGTAAGCTTTCAAACTGGCATTTTCCTTTCCAGTGATCTGCTGGTTTAAAAATGTTTCACTGTATATGTATATACAATGATTTTAATAACCTGCAGGGATAACAATTTAACATGGGTTTGAATATTGAATGGTATTTGGAATCTCTTACTTCCTATCTCCCTCTGGTGGCCAGTTATCTTTATTATAATAATGTTCTACACTTTCCATAAATAGAACTTTATGTAAACTGAAAAAATAAATAGTATTTTATTACCTCCATGTTTAAAGAGCACAATATATTACACATCATAAGACATCAAAAATAAATTTTAGAAGCATCAACCATTTAATTTTTTTTAATGTTTTTTTTTTAATTTAAAAATTTTCTACTGGCTAAAATTGCAAATGCAATCCAGGAAAATGTAGGCCTAGTTTTCTATTTCATGAACAATTGCTCTGTGACCTTGCATTCATTTCTCGAAAATTCAAGCAATCATTTTTGCCAAATGAAAGCCAAGATTTTTTAAAGATTTTGATTCAGAAACACTATGCTTACCAATGAACATATTCTGTAGGTTTATCTGACATTAGTTTAGGTACTGTAGTATGTAACCACCATACACAATCTCTCTGTATAACAGATACTTGGTTCTTAAAACTCTTGATAACTTCAATATCTGAAATTTCACAGGAAAGATTATAAATTTTTTTTTTCTTTTTTTTCACATAGTTTAAGAGATTAGGAAAATTGCAAGTGAAAAGTTACTAATCCAAGGCACTAGCATAGCACATCGTGGCATGTCGCATGTCACATTGTCGATTCTACATATCTAATTCCCATTACATTATTAGCATTGATGAGAAAAAACAAATCGGTGATATCAAATGAACAGTATAGGTCCAAGAGATATACAGTTGAACACTCTAACGATACCATATAGTAGAAATGAATGTCCAAAAAACACATTAATAGGTACAAACCTTTGTTATCTCCTCTTGCTATAGCTGCTACAGCTTCTCTGACACTAGGTGTCACTCCTAGTAGTATAGACAGGGTTATCAAGTCTGTTATGGATAGAACATATCTCTCCTAAAACGACCATTAGATCATTATTATAAGAAATGCAAAGAATGAGGTTAAATACCTTTCAGTTTACATCTCCAAGGTTTAATTAAGCAAAGAGTCTTTAAGTCTTATATAAAAGTAACAGTAATAGATTCAAGAAGAACTTCAAGGACAGTATTGTTTTGTGAAGATGTAAATAAATGAGGTACAGGGTTCATAACAGTGCACTGCCCAGGATTGAGTCTACATCTTGCTCGGACCTGTGTCTTGTATATATTTACTTCTCCTAGACTAAACCTCGTCTTTTTGAAATGAAGACTATAATATAATATTCAATGATTAATATGCAATGCAAAATGACAGGTACTTATGACTTTAGGATATCCTAGATATAGTGTTAGAAGTTAAAACTCTAGGATATCCTCTACTCTACAAGCATATTACAAATACATGTACATAATTCATGTTAAATTTACTCAATATTCATAATAAAAATATCCTACCACTTCTATATCACTAAACTTTGGTTCATTTCTCTCTGTCATCAATCCCAGACAAAATAACGTAAAATTAAATTCATGTCGTAATGATCGTATAATCTCTCGAAATAACGCCCGTAACGCTCGTAAATAATCATCTTTATTGGTTAATAAATCTTGGAATATTTCCGCCAATATCTAGAAAATACAATACACAAAATATATTAAAGTTGAGCAGAGATATTTCTGATTCAAAATATAATCACTAGACCTGTTTGTCACAGATCTGTGAGCTTCCAAGCTATTTTACGTGTTTTACAATAACAGTTCGTACAACATACATGGGAGTAGACTGTCAATGTTGTGGAAATATTTCAGTAGTAAAAATAGCTTTGGTGGACCAGATTATAAATTATAATAAGAAAGTTTAAAATTTCTCATGAAATATATCAATATATCAAATGCTTATCGACAGATACATAACCACTCCCTTTGACAATTTTGCAAAATATTTTTTAATAATCATAATTGATAATTTGGCCTCTACCCATCTACAAAGTTTCATGGAAATCAAATACAAAGTTAGAATTTTGACCAAAATTCAGTATAAAAAGTTATCAACCAAATTTTTGAATTTCCAAAACTGCAGTCTCCTTGGAAGTTTTTTCTACCACACACAATTTTGATTAAAATGGAACAAAGAATAAGCATTTTATGGCTGATTTCCAAAATTATGTTCATTAGAACTCAAACAAGGGTCGCCCTCTTTATCAAAATCACTTATTTCTAAAAATGCATATTTCGGACATCTTAAATAAACACTTGCTTAAAAGCTAATGAAAAACACAATACATAAAATAACATCGAACTAAATGTTGAAAAGGTCCAAGTTCATATGATATAATCCTCCAAAGATACAGCAGATAAGAAGCAAATTACCCATTTTCAGAGCAGTATAAAACAAAAAATAATGTACCAAAATCAAAGACAAGTTGGGAAAGGAATCATGCAAAGACAGGCGAAATTCAAAGAAATGGCAAGGACCTCGGTACTTTTCTAACTTTTAAAATAAATTTGAGAGCAATCAGATCAAAAATGTTGACTGCATTGATTTTTTAACATTTTTTGCCTTTTTCAACATGGTGGCTTAATGGATAGAAATTTGCATACACAGCAAAAATACAAAATGAAGATATTCATCATACAAATTTGCAAGTTTTCAGTCATTTTTTTGCTCGTTTGGAAATTTTAGGTAAATGTTTTTTCGAAACCTTAATTGATAATTTGGTACCAACTCACCAAATTTTGTGAAAATCAAATACAAATTTAAGAAAAGAGAATTTGAACTAAAATGCAGTACTTTTGAATCACCAATTTCTGAAACTATAGTCTTTTCAGAAGTTCTTTCAAGACTACAAAAAAAGAATTTGACAAAAATTGAACCAAAAAAAAAGCATTTTCTATCTGATTTCTGAAATCACGAAGTTTTCCATTTGTAATCTGATGTCTGTAAATAAATCTAAAAGCTAATTTCGAGATTTTAAATTTACTACATCCACAGTCTACTGACAATTTGAACTCTATAATCTCAAAGATTGCAGACAACTTGAACTCTATAATCTCAAAGATTGCAGACAACTTGAACTCTATAATCTCAAAGATTGCAGACAACTTGATCTCTATAATCTCAAAATTCGCAGACAACTTGAACTCTATAGTCTCAAAATTGCAGACAACTTGATCTCTATAATCTCAAAGATCGCAGACAACTTGATCTCTATAATCTCAAAGATTGCAGACAACTTGATCTCTATAATCTCAAAATTCGCAGACAACTTGATCTCTATAATCTCAAAATTGCAGACAACTTGATCTCTATAGTCTCAAAGATTGCAGACAACTTGAACTCTATAATCTCAAAGATCGCAGACAACTTGAACTCTATAATCTCAAAGATTGCAGACAACTTGATCTCTATAATCTCAAAATTCGCAGACAACTTGATCTCTATAATCTCAAAATTCGCAGACAACTTGATCTCTATAGTCTCAAAGATTGCAGACAACTTGATCTCTATAATCTCAAAGATCGCAGACAACTTGAACTCTATAATCTCAAAGATTGCAGACAACTTGATCTCTATAATCTCAAAATTCGCAGACAACTTGATCTCTATAGTCTCAAAGATTGCAGACAACTTGATCTCTATAATCTCAAAGATTGCAGACAAGTTGAACTCTATAATCTCAAAGATCTCAGACAAGTTGAACTCTATAATCTTGAAGCTAATAAGCTCAAAGATTGCAGAGAAAAATTAATGCTACAAGCTTAAAGATTGCAGAAATGAACTCCATGAGCTTAAAGATCTTAAAAGCTGAAAGATTTTTAACAAGTAGACGCTATAAATTTCAAGACACGCTGGATCATAAAAGCCAAAAGGATGATATTACGTGAGTGGACTAATATTCAAATGGCCAATAATATGGTAAGGTTACAACATGTATGGGGTGTGAATAAAAGAAAAGCTCAATATTACATTATGAAAAATTTTGGGGGAAATGTACAATTAAATGTACGGAAACTAAAATTCCCCAAGTATGACGCATTGAAATGACATAGTTAAGTACTAAGAGATGATAGATCCTATTTAAAGATTGTGGGAAACATGTATACCTTTGTGAAAGCTTGAAGAATGTGAATATCAAGTGTCCTATGGTTTAAGCTTGAAGAATGTGAATATCAAGTGTCCTATGGTTTAAGCTTAAAATTGTGAACATATGTTATCCTACAGTTTAAGCTGTAAGATTGTTAACAAAATAATGGACAAGATAGTGGACAACAGTTATCTTGCTCTGAAAGCTTAAAGAATCTGCACAAAGAGTATTATACTGTGTAAGTATACAAAACAGAATTAATGGAGTTTTACATCTTACTTGGTGTAAGTTTAAGCTTGTTGACATTGAGTATCATACTGTAAATGCTTAGAGATTATGCTTAATAAAATGGGAATCAACAGCATATAAGCATAAAGTTTGTGGACAATGGATATCCCACTTTAGAAGCTTAAAAAAATAGGATAAGTGTACATACAAATAGTAGATTAGAAGCAAGATTTACTATTTCAGCTTACAGTTGTGGGTGAATTCAGCCAAAATCCCAAAGTGTTACTGTAAATTTGACAATAACTAAACCTACGACATAAATCGTGTCTAATGATATAATATAAACTTTTCAAAGGGTGTGGTTTAGATAAATATGTAAACATTAAATCATACATAATGATGAATAGTGTAAGATTGTTAGTTCTTTGTCTATTGTTTGTGTTTAACTCTATGTGTAATTGTGAGAAGGATGCGTGTAGTTTAAAACTGTGTAAATGTTCACTGAATAATGTAGAATGTAGTGATAGTAATCTAACTTATATACCTGTTCTTCCCAGACGAACCACTAAGTTGTTTTTTGATAGTAATCATCTTCCTTTGATCAATGAACATACTTTTTTTAATATCACACACTTGAATCTAGAGGTGTTAACACTTCAAGATTGTAATATCACAACTATTACTACAAACACTTTTAAATTTATAAAACATTTAAAACGATTACGACTCTCCTCCAATCCATTGACGACAGATTCTTTGATAAATTTATTTTCTGATTTGAAAAATAGATCCTTTCAGTCAATAAGCTTTCAGCGAACCGGGTTACAATTTATACCTGAAGGATTATTTAAAAATAATTTTACTTTATTAAATCTTAACATTTCTAGGAATTCTCTTAAGATCCTAAATCTCACAGAATTTAACTCACTCGGTCTAAAAGTTTTAAAAGTTGAATATAATTTAATCGAGACGGTTGTAATGGATAAAATGGACAATTTACAAGAATTATATTTAATTTCAAATAATATTAAATCACTTCCGAATTTTTGTCATGATAAATCTTATTTCCCTTCATTGACCTATTTAAATATACAGAGTAATTATATTTGTAAGTATGTTCCTCCATATATGAACTGTTTAAAAAATCTTTCTGGATTTAATCTAAATAAAAACTGTATATCATTAGTTAAATCTGGATCATTCCAAGAGTTATCTTCTCTTACCATCCTCAGTTTGGCACAACAAAGAAACTCCAAACATGCTTTAAAATTAGAGAGAAGCTCTTTTAATAATTCAAATCTTGAAAATTTAATCTTACTTGATAACAATCTTAAATTAAGAAACATTGATCCAGCGGCCTTCAGTGGATGTCAAAATGTCAAATTTCTGAAAATTTCTGGTAATCATTTGAATGACCCAATAACTTATGATACTAAACTATTAGATAAAATCTTGTCACGATTGAGTTCTTTGGAACTATTAGATTTGTCACACAATCATCTAGATGAAGTACCAACATCCATTCAAAGTTTCAACAAACTCAAGTATCTTAATTTATATGAGAACGCAATATCAAACTGGAAAGACAAATTTTGGGATGGAAACAGGAATTTAACTGACTTAGATCTTGGTAGGAATTCAATAATAAAAATATCAAAAGAGATGTTTCCTGTTAAATTTAGGTCACAATTAAAAACAATATCACTTCAATATAATCTGATAGATTGTATCTGTGACAATGTTTGGTTGATTGAGTGGATTAAAAGAGATCATAATAAATTTGAATATTATCCACATGGATATAACTGTGTAAATATGACAGAGCGAATTTGTTTAAGAAACAGTCCTTTATATACGTCAATAACTGGAGTTTGTTGTGTTATACTTCTTTTATCTATCCTAGTATCTATTTTTTATAAATATAGATGGTTTATCAAATATCAGATATATATCTGGCGACATCAACCCAAACTCTTGAACAATATGGCAGAACAACAGTACCTCTATGACGTGTTCGTTTCATACTCCGCTGAGGACGATTGGGTCTTGGATGATCTGGTACCACATTTAGAGGTAAATGAGGGCATGAAACTCTGTATACATGAAAGAGATTTTCAGCCTGGCAGATTGATACTAGATAATATTGAAAAATCGATTGAGAATAGTCGTCGTGTTTTAATTATATTAAGTAATAATTTTGCTCAAAGTGATTGGTGTCAATTTGAAATGACTTTAGCTCAGAAACATGTTTTAAATCGAGCTATGGAACCTTTAAGTGTAGTTTTATTAGAAGATATAGACAGTGAAAATATGAGCAATTCACTTCATGCTTTATTAAAGACAACTACTTATATAACTTGGTATAATGATGCAGAAAATATTCACTTGTTTTGGGACCGACTGAAGAATTCCCTTATGTAATATATTTATATAGCCTTATTCTATATAACTTTAGAATAACTTAGAAATTCCCTCATGTCTTGGTTTATAATGAACAAGGCTTGTACTGTACAAGTTTTGTGCAATTATTCCTCACTGTCTTTGTGAATTCTTATGCATTTTACTTAATGTAAAACCATATTGCTAACAAAACAGTTCTACTGAATGGTTTGATTTATCACCAACATCATCGCTGTTAAAAACCTATGTCTGAAATGATAAAACAGTCTTTAGTGACTAAAGTACAAATTTTTTCATATTGAAGAAATTTTATCAGTTTGAATTCAATTATATATATATATATTATTTATGCTGAGTAATTTCATAAAATTTTTTGAAATCAATATCAATAACCCAAATACAACAAATAATTAAATCACACAGCTCTAATCAAGGGCAAAAAAAATGTTGACAGCTTTTTCCTAATGCAAGGGCAATAACTCAAAAACCGTGCATCGAAAAATCATCAAGTTCAAACTAGTCCACGATCTCATCAATATAAATGATCAAACTAAATTTCATAAAAATCGGTTGAAAACTGTAGCTTCTATTGTGTTCACAACAAATTTTGAAGCGTTTCTACAAAGTCAAGGGCAATAACTCAAAAACCGTTATAAAAAATGCGTCAAGTTAGAACTTGTCCAAGATCTTATTAATTTCAATGATCATACCAAGTTTGATCAAAATCGGTTGAAAACTGAAGCTTCTATAGTGCTCACGTACACATTTTACAAAGTCAAGAGCAATTACTCAAAAACTGTTCATCGAAAATGCATCAAGTTAGAACTTGTCCGAGATCTTATCAATTCCAATGATCACACCAAGTTTCATTAGAATCTGTTGGAAAAGGTAGCTTCTACTGTACTCACGAACAAATATTGATGTGTTTTTACAAAATCAAGGGCAATAACTCAAAAACCGTTCATCGAAATTTCATCAAGTTAGAACTTGAGATCTTATTAATTCCAATGATCACACCAAGTTTCATCAGAATCGGTTGAAAACTGTAGCTTTAATCCTGCTCACAAACTATTTTGAACAAATTTTGACGTTTAACAAAGTCAAGGGCAATAACTCAAAAAACGTTCATCTAAAAAGATCTTATCAATCTAAAGCATCACACCAAGTTTGATCAAAATCAGATAAAAACTGTAGTCTCTATAGTGCTCACAAGAAATGTTGATGGACGAACTGATGGACAGGGGCGACGACAATATACGCCCACACGTACTTCATTTCTAGCATACGGACACAAATCATTACACAAATCGTTGAAGCCATAATTGGGGATGTTAAGACCTAAAATTAATGAAATATGTAGAGCAAAATCAAAAAGTTAAGTTTTTAGAACATTGAAAACAGGTTTACAGTATGTTCAAAATAAACTTAATGATTTCATGAAAACAATAAAAAAATTTAAAAAGTTATAATTAGTGCAAAAAATAATCAACAAAATTTTCGAATTTCTGAAACTGCAGCCTTTTCAGAAATTCTTTGAAGATTACACACAAAAATTTTGAGGATATCAAAAATAAATAAATAAATAAATTTTGAGGAAAATCAAACAAAAGTCTGATTGGATTGTGATGTCTTGAAATATATTTAAAGTCTATTCTATAACTTGAGACCTGTAATAAACAATTCACTTTATATGTAGCTAGAATAAATAGTAATAGAACTCTACAGACTAGACTTAAATTATATTGATTATTGCTTAAAACTACCTTAATTAATGTCTATATTGTTTCTTGTTGGTATATATTTTGTTTTGTTTTATTCTCTTGCCATTACATCTGATGACGACATGTGTATATTGTGTTGAAACGTTATGTGCCTAACCTTATTAAAGAAGTGTGTTATTTACCATAATACTGTCTTGTCAAAAGCTTATCAGTGTGGGGTCAGCGAAATGAAACAGAAACTTCTTTCCTGTTTCTTAATATTATGCAAATGAAGTTAAGCCAAGCCAAGCAGTGTGCATGGATGAAACTTTATCAAGGTAATGGTATTAACCTACTGTTAGACTACAATTGTCACTTATTCCTCTAAATGAACAACCTGAAAGTTATGTTTCTTGTCCCATCAGATTAACTACAGGCCTCTTCCATACCAACCACTCCATCATATATCAAAGACTGGTAACAGACTGTAAAAAGTCAGAAGACGTAAAGAAATACCAGTTGTCCTACCTTTGAAGCTTGGTCTGTAGAGGAACCAAATAAAACACCCAATAAAGACATATTATTGGGGTTTCTAGCTGTAGATAATTCATTATATATTGTTAGATTCAATATCATCTTTAGATTATCTGCATGACCACTGATTAACTCTCTACAATGCAAATGCAAACGAGACTTAGTCCTGTGGTCCAAATTTTGACCGTGAGATTTAGACCATACCTGTTGTTAATTTAGCATTAAGCAAACAAAACAGGGATCCAGTCTAACTTTTGTGCATCATAACATCAAAATTTAGTTTTTGTTGCTTAAGTCACATCAAGCATGTAAAATAGTTTTGAATATTTCTTATAATTGGATGGTGGACCAAAGCCAGATATTTCCACTTCTGTTGGCAATAAAACAAACTTTCATTATATCATTAACCAAATAGTGTCTACATATTATTCATTCTAAGTTTCATAAATTTGTTTTAAAAAGTAAAGAAGTATAACATTTTATAAACACTCAATGTGTAAAACATATATAAAGAGAGATATTGGAGAACTGAAAAGTTTACATTCAGGGTTGATTAGTGAGCAGGTGGATAAACAGTAATAAATACAATGAACCAACCTGACACAGTTTAAATAATGATTAATTAAAGGTTTTGTTTTCAGTCGTATCTTTATCACTTGAGCTATAACCTCTATATCAGCTTTATCATGATTTACACAGTTCATACAAACAGACATCAACAGATCCTGGGCTGTCCTGGCAAGCTGAAATAGACAATAAGATAGCTTGCTAGACAACACTGTTCATACAAACAGACATCAACAGATCCTGGGCTGTCCTGGCAAGCTGAAATAGACAAAAAGATAGCTTGCTAGACAACACTGTTCATACAAACAGATATCAACAGATCCTGGGCTGTCCTGGCAAGCTGAAATAGACAAAAAGATAGCTTGCTAGACAACACTGTTCATACAAACAGATATCAACAGATCCTGGGCTGTCCTGGCAAGCTGAAATAGACAATAAGATAGCTTGCTAGACAACACTGTTCATACAAACAGACATCAACAGATCCTGGGCTGTCCTGGCAAGCTGAAATAGACAAAAAGATAGCTTGCTAGACAACACTGTTCATACAAACAGATATCAACAGATCCTGGGCTGTCCTGGCAAGCTGAAATAGACAATAAGATAGCTTGCTAGACAACACTGTTCATACAAACAGACATCAACAGATCCTGGGCTGTCCTGGCAAGCTGAAATAGACAATAAGATAGCTTGCTAGACAACACTGTTTATACAAACAGACATCAACAGATCCTGGGCTGTCCTGGCAAGCTGAAATAGACAATAAGATAGCTTGCTAGACAACACTGTTCATACAAACAGACATCAACAGATCCTGGGCTGTCCTGGCAAGCTGAAATAGACAATAAGATAGCTTGCTAGACAACACTGTTCATACAAACAGATATCAACAGATCCTGGGCTGTCCTGGCAAGCTGAAATAGACAATAAGATAGCTTGCTAGACAACACTGTTCATACAAACAGACATCAACAGATCCTGGGCTGTCCTGGCAAGCTGAAATAGACAATAAGATAGCTTGCTAGACAACACTGTTCATACAAACAGACATCAACAGATCCTGGGCTGTCCTGGCAAGCTGAAATAGACAATAAGATAGCTTGCTAGACAACACTGTTCATATAAACAGACATCAACAGATCCTGGGCTGTCCTGGCAAGCTGAAATAGACAATAAGATAGCTTGCTAGACAACAATGTTCATACAAACAGACATCAACAGATCCTGGGCTGTCCTGGCAAGCTGGAATAAAATAGATTATAAAATAGCTCTCATTGTTTCTCCAGACATAAGCAGCTGCAATATAATCCTTGATCCTTGTGGAAATAATATAACTGGACCCTAGTCTTACCTTGGGATTCTGTAGCCACATTTCTAGTCTCTGACTGGCCAAAGTTCTGACTTCAGAGTAGCCACAAGTAGCTGTCATGAGTCTTATCAAGTTTCTAGCTGTAGCATCCATTGGTTGACGTCTATTTAGCTGTTCTCGGATTAAGTCTAAGATGTAGGACTCTATATGTTCTTGTTGACATGGGTACCTACATCATAGAAAGTTAAGAAATATAATAAATATGGTGTAGGTTTAATAAAGAGCAGACAATACCATACCCAAAAATTTCTTCAATTGGTTGAAGTTTGTATGACATTATTCTGATCTTTGTCTTCAGAAATTATCACAAAATCTTGAAATGCGTACCTTTCAAAGACAGGAACTGTATCTTCTGATAGGTTACTCTTAGTACTGTCTGACCCTTCAGATCCCTTCGATACTTCTTCTTCATCAAATAGATTGATCTGAGGACTAGCTGGAATAACAAATAAAATATTATCTGTATGGTTTTCCTGTCCACAGTGTGTCAGTAAATAGTGTTTGTATATTGCATGCTGCTCTTTATGATACAGTTAAATATCCTAAAATCCTATATTTGATATAACAATACTAAAATAGCAAAGTTGCTTTAATGATAAAACAACTGTAGTTGACAAATTCAGGTCACAGACTGGCACCAGCAGATGTTCCAAATCTACAAATACACATTTAAAGATGGGTTCCCTTATTTCAATTTATGAAAATGTAAATGGTAATACTTATATGAATAGAAAGTAGAGGAGTTCTAATGACTTGGAAAAATACCAGTTTGACTCACATGTCAATAATTAATTCATAATTAACTAAATTAGAAGAGAATTACCAGCTGAATTCCAATGAGTTACCGATCAAGAAAGGCCCATTTTTTTGTTTATCCAGCCTGTACATACATGGATATTTAAGATTTCATATTTATATGAAATAAGAACATAATGATATAATATGATTAAGAATACATGATAATTCATTAGAATCACCAATTAATCAAACAGTTTGCTTAATTTGACACTAGAAAACAAGGGAACCCATCTTTAACTCTTTAGGTGACTTGTGACCAAAATAGAAAACTATTGGTATATTGAATCTGATAAACACTGAATTAAGCTATCAAATATCTCAAATCAAATTCTATGAACAAGCAATAATACCACATCTGACATACAACTTTGATGAATTAATGTGAATACCCAATCATTAGCTGAGTGGTCATTAAACAGAAAGCCCTATAATGATGTGATATATAGGCTACAGTGGCAAGAGAAGTGGTTGTTACCATATCACTAAAGTCTAGGTTCAAGGTGTAGTGCTTACAGGGTTAACATTCAAAAACATCAACAGAAATATATAAATAACTTACAAGGACTAGTTTTCTCTCCACTAGGTTCACCAGAGCCCACCAATAGATTTTTAGGTGGAATTTTCGTCCCAAATGCTGTCTGGATATTCTCAACAAAAGTTTTACAGTCATCACGATCAACCCAGACTCTTTCCCCTAATGAATCTTCAACATATACCTAAATTTCAAACAGAGAGAAGAGTAAAACATGACTACATGATATCAAACAATCATGTTGCAATGAGGGTTTATTTTTTTAATGAAAAACCATGTTGCCTGAGATGCCCTAAAAGCTTGTCCTGCCCTGGAACAAAACAGAGATTCAAATTATAAATTTGTGATCTTTGAAACTTACCTTAACAAAGTTATCAGGCCAGTTTTCTTCTTCTGCAAAGGCTGATAACAGAACATTACACGCAAACACGGAGACTAGGGGATTTCCCTTCGATTTAAAATTGATGGACATGTCTCTCTTTAACAAACTACAAAATGCCTGAAAGAGTAAAATATGTTTAAGTAAGTTTATTAACATGTACTACTTCAATAAAGACATCTACTGCAAACTGTATACATTAGCTTACATAAACCAGTGAATATTAAACTGTTAATGAGTTAGCTTAATCATATTAAGTTTTTGTGTGAAGGGCCATATACAAAGTGAAACATCTATGGTTATCTGCCAAATAGTATGTGGACTCTCCCAATGGGAGGCATGTTTATAAACTATAAAATGTATTGCATTATACTAATGACACAAAAGCCTGAAAGATACCTAAGGTATGAAAATCGCTAATGAACAGTGGGTTACATAGACATATTTCACTTTTTATTTGTAATTCAAAAACTCTAATTTTCGCCACAAGGTCATTTTTAGAAATGTGTTTGATTCAAAATTCCTTTAACCATTTTCACCTGGGAGAAATCTAAAGTTTTTAATCAAAAATAAAAAATCCAAAAATATGTCATATGTGAGCCATCAGATTAATCAGGCATATCTCAAAATTAATTGGACAAAGAGCACAACTTACATCAATGACAACCTCACTACAGAAGAGAGCTGATTTGGTTTTAGCTAGATACATGACAGTCAAATACACAATAGGATCAGGTTTAGATCTGTTTAATTTCAGATGTTTCACAGAACCACATAATAATCCTTCTACTCTCTCATCATCTCCATCTATCTCAGCTTCCACAACTTCATTATATAAATCGCTAGATTTCACTGAAAATATACAGATTACATTATACAGATCACTAGATTTCACTGAAAATATACATATAACATTATACAGATCACTAGATTTCACTGAAAATATACATATAACATTATACAGATCACTAGATTTCACTGAAAATATACATATAACATTATACAGATCACTAGATTTCACTGAAAATATATATATAACATTATACAGATCACTAGATTTCAATGAAAATATATATATAACATTATACAGATCACTAGATTTCACTGAAAATATACATATAACATTATACAGATCACTAGATTTCACTGAAAATATAACATTATACAGATCACTAGATTTCACTGAAAATATAACATTATACAGATCACTATATTTCACTGAAAATATACATATAACATTATACAGATCACTAGATTTCAATGAAAATATACAGATTACATTATACAGATCACTAGATTTCACTGAAAATATACAGATTACATTATACAGATCACTAGATTTCACTGAAAATATACAACTTAATTGTACAGATCACTAAATTTCACTGAAAATATATATATAACATTATACAGATCCTTAGATTTCACTGAAAATATATATATAACATTATACAGATCACTAGATTTCACTGAAAATATACATATAACATTATACAGATCACTAGATTTCACTGAAAATATACAGATTAAATCATACAGATCACAAGCTTTCACTGAAAATATACATATAACATTATACAGATCACTAGATTTCACTGAAAATAACCACTACCACTTACCATCTATAGCAGACTCTTCATATGCATGTATAACAGGAGCAGGGGATGCTCGTTTATCTCCATCATTGCGTCCTAGTGGGGTGAAAGTCTGAGGTGATAATTTAGGTTTTTTACTACTGGTTGACAAGGAGCTACTTGATGCTTCTCTCTTTCTTTCATTTCCTGAAACTTTCCGACCGAGTGGTTGTGGGCTGGTGGATCTTTTCACTTCTGCTGTTCCTGTTTTACCCAGTGCTACAAAATCTCCCGACGGCAAGTGGCCTACAAAATATAGTAAATACTGTAGTTCGTAATGCACATTACACATCCAGAATATATGTCTGATTTTGTATCCTTGTACGTTCAAGGATGTAAATTTGAAAGTCAGCCTCCTGTGACAGCCAGTCATAATGTAAGAAAATCAATGGTGCTTATAGCAAATAATCCAATTATTCTGACTACTAGCAGATCGATCTTAAACAATTCATGATAAATAAAGATCAATAGGTGTTGATATTAATGAACGTTAGTGTGGATATGTTATTCTATGCGTGAAAGGCAAAATTAATCGATATTAACGAACGGTAAGTTCACAATTTGACCATAAAGTCTGTCCACACATCACAGACATAATACCGACAGCCATGAAAGCACACTGCAAGTAGACGTGAAAGGAAAGGGAAAAAAAAGCTACACACTGTCTACTCTACGTATTTGACTACAGACAGTAATGCACATCTTAATAATAAATAATCAAAATAACTAATGAATTTAGAGATCTGCTCAAGAACACACTACACAGCAATACTGATGATATTTTGAAGGAGGCTATCATTATCAATTGTCATGATGCCGATGATGATGGCAAAGCCGAAGTCAGAGGACAGGGATGTATGAGATAGTATCCTACCTTTTGATGATCTCTTTGCCCCAAGAACTTTGTTTCTTTCCATTTTGGTCTGTAGACTATTCTTTAAATTTGAAGTTTCAAATTACAATTTCAACTTTTATACAGAATTGTTTGAACTAGACTCCATTACAGTGGAGGGCTTTTCCCTCCATTTCTTTTAAAGAGCTCCAATGCAAGGGAGATAATAGGTTAAGATCAGACTACAGCTCTTATTGTAATATGGGAATCTTCAATTTCGTGAATCAGATAGAGGTGAATATTTTTTGAACGGTGGTGAAAAGGGTCTTTAAAGTGACAGATACGCCATTTTGGGGGTTTAATTTGAGTCTTATGTTACTGATAATAGTCTTTAGAGGTTCTAAAAATGTACGAAAATCGCATAATTCCTTCAAAAATATCTAAAACTAGGAATTTCTTTTTCTATTTCTATAGATGTGTCCGAGTTGTCTATAATATGAAAAAGGCCCGAATTGTCTTTAGTACTTGGTCCAAGCTGTCTTTGGTCCGAATCCGAGCCTCCCGATTCTGTTTCTCAATTTGCAAGTATCAGTTTAAATCCCTGTGTGCTTGACAAAGTTTATTTAATAGAGCTCATCTAAAGCTGCTGACACGTGTTTCATAAACAATCCTCATCCATAAATTTTTCAGAAATGGGGGGTAAATTTCCAAAACTAAGTGCAGAACAATTATAAAACATAACAAGCATAAAGATTTCAATAAAGTTAAGATAAAGTCACTTATGTCTGAAAAACTGCAATCGAAAATGTCTTATGTACATTGGCATGTCTATTAAATTACATTACATCGAGTTTAATTTTATATAGTCTTATGTGCATTACATTACGAACATAAATCTGTAATATGAATTACAATATAATATCTCAACAAGAATAAACTTGTTTATATGTGCATTACATCGAGCATAAACTTGTACGTGTCGATTACATTACATTGCAACGAATACAAACTTGTAATTTGATACCGCAAAATATAAAATAAGTATGGGATGTGGCTCGTTCCAACTTATTTTATCCTACTCCTTCGTTTAGACCAACACCCCTTGCCTTAAAAGCCCGGTAACGGACTCGATGAAGAGACGATGTTATTGGGTGATTAGCCTATTAAACAATACAAAGATAAACATCGGTACATCGACAGACACGGTAAAAAGTATATTAAAGCTAACATGAATTTCAAAACCGAACGTCTCTTTACTTAAACAACTTATACAAGCATCACGGTCAAATGGTCCATTCCATGTTATGTTTTTATAACTTTATTTTTTGTCATTTCACCAGCTTTAACGAGGGACCACGTAATAAGTGGCTCCTAAGGCGTCGACCAATCCAAGCTCTGTTACCAGATCGTACACCGAACACTTGTTGTTAAAGTAGGTGAATGATCGGCAAAACTGGAGTTGGAAACAAAAGCCAACACACTCTAGCCGACTTGTAGGATCATACACAGCCAGTGGTTCCAAGCTGCTTAGCAGGATCTTGTTTGATTTAAATAAATCGTACATTATACTTCTTGGACATTGTATGGTGCAGTCATTCACCAAATCTGTAAAGATAAATAATAGTAGAAAAGTGTGTTTTTTTATAGATCATTGAATTTAATAGGTACGGTTTGCAAGATAGTCCCACAACCCCTTCGAAACTATCGTGACCGGCAGATTGTTACTGTGTTTGGGGCAAACAGTAATTATTTCCCGTGACCAAAATGCCAAACAAGAGTGAATATATAGTAATTGTTCACAACGGCCAAATGGTAACGACCCTTATTAAGGTAACTTTTCTGACATTCCTTAACCTCACAGCTATTATTCTGGTAACAAACATTATTGTTTGGAGTCCACTACTATACAACTTTTAATCTCGATTTTGCCATACTTTGGACGAGATTTTGTTTAACGGAATAGTCATGCTTGTATGGATTTTAATTGTAAAATTTCAATTGGATGTCGATGATTCAGATCATTATGTAGGGTGGTCAAACTGGGCAAACTGGGCACACATTGGATGAAGTATTTCTTACAGCATAGCCTAGATAATATTCGTCTAAATGTTTGTTTTATTAATACATATACCCAATTTCAGATATACAGGACACTTTTCAGGGTAAGAATCCGACGCAAGATTCTCCTAAAATTAAACAAAAAATAACGTTCTGGCGTTCTAAATTATGTTGGACGTATTAAAATTTGCGAAAAATACTCACCTGATGGGACATTATCATCTTCGTTGATACAAGTATCGTGGTTAGCGAGGATGATATTATAATTAAGAATACTAAACATGACCAAACATCTGACAAGACCTCTAAATCCTGGAGTATTTGAGTTCCAACTGCCAACAGTAACATGTGTCTTACTTAATCCAAACATACCACAAGTATCGGATGCACTTTTAATGATGTCATTATTGATTATCAATGACACTGTTCCAGCAGAGATATCTCTTCTCATACCAACCAAATACCATGTACTGGTATTAAACATATTGTCTATCGCAATGGATACACATTTAGTACCGTTTGTATGAAATGCGTTCAGATTTATAACCGTTTCGCCTATGGTTAAATCAAAAACTGCCCGCGAAAATGAATCAGTTATTTGTATAAGAGAACCTGAAGTTGGATTCTGGACATAGATATTTATAACCAAAGTAAAGGTGGAATCAATCTCCGTACTATTAATTTCTAGGAACATTATAGATAAAGACGAACCATCCATATGTGTGGCATTATTTGGTAAATTTGGATGTTCGTTTCCAAATCGCAGGCAATCATGGTCATTTCTCTCGGAGGTTTTCAGATCCATAGTTAATCCCTTGTTATCCAACGCCCAAACATGAGATATTATTACGGTAGAATTACACGGCGGAACTGAAAATGAAGAATGAAGAATAATGATTTTAACATCGATTACAATGATTGTATATTAATAGCAATGATTATATATTGATTACAATGATTATATATTGATTACAATGTTTATTCATTGGTTACGAAGATTATACATTGATTATAATGATTAACATTGATGCCAATTTTGTATAACAATGATTATACATTGATGGCAATGAAATACATAAACTACAATGATTATACATTGATGGCAATGAAATACATAAACTACCATGATTATACTTTGATGGCAATGATTATACATTGATGGAAATAAGTATGCATAGATTACAGGGACGTAACTAGGGTCTGTTTCCCATGTAGCAAAATCCTGTTATATTTGAAGTAAGTTAGGTCCTTCGTCGTAACACTTTCGGTAGACATCAAATAAACGATAAATTTAACTTATTTTAATAACTACGCTGTTACTTATTGGGGATAACTTATTTTTAATAACTACGCTGTTACTTATTGAGGATAACTTATTTTAATAACTACGCTGTAACTTATTGGGGATAACTTATTTTAATAACTACGCTGTTACTTATTGGGGATAACTTCTTTTTAATAACTACGCTGTTACTTATTGGGGATAACTTATTTTTAATTACTACGCTGTTACTTATTGGGGATAACCTATTTTAATAACTACGCTGTTACTTATTGGGGATAACCTATTTTAATAACTACGCTGTTACTTATTGAGGATAACTTATTTTAATAACTACGCTGTAACTTATTGGGGATAACTTATTTTAATAACTACGCTGTTACTTATTGGGGATAACTTCTTTTTAATAACTACGCTGTTACTTATTGAGGATAACTTATTTTAATAACTACGCTGTTACTTATTGGGGATAACCTATTTTAATAACTACGCTGTTACTTATTGGGGATAACTTCTTTTTAATAACTACGCTGTTACTTATTGGGGATAACTTATTT